ATAGCAGAATGGATTAGAAACCAAAATCTAACAACATGTTCTTCATAAGACACACACTTGAAAGAGAGAGACACACAGATTTAAAATAAAAGGCTGGAACAGAATCAATTATGCTTCAGCTAAAATAAAGACAGAAGTAATAATCACAATCTCAGACAAAGCAAAAGCAAAAATATACTTAATTAAAATAGATAATCAAGGAAACCATACTTTGCTAAAAGGCACCATAGACTATGAAGTAATATGTAAAACAAATTTATAAGTTTCTTTGATAAAGTTTTCATTTCTCAAATATATAAGGAATTGAGTCAAATTTATAAAAAATAAGAGCCATTCCCCCAATTGATAAATGGTTAAAGGATATGAACAGATAGTTTTTAAAAGAAAAAAATCAAAATTATCTATATCTATAGGAAAAATTCCCCAAGTCACTATTGATTAGAGAAATCCAAATTAAAACAACTCTGAGATGTCACCTTAGAGTTATAAAAAATGACAAATGCTGGAGGGGATGGGGAAAAATAATTACACTGATGCACTAGTTGTAAACTAATCCAGCCATGCTATAGAACAATTTAGAACTGTCATCAAAGGGCTATAAAACTATACCTACTCTTTGACACAGCAATACCACCACTAGGTCTGTAACCTAATGATATCAAGGAAAAGGAAAAGGATCTATCTGTACAAAAATATTTATAACAGCTCCATTTGTGGTGGCAAAGAATTGGAAATTGGGGTTGTTCATCAGCTGGGAAATGACTGAACAAGTTGAGGTATATGATGGTGATGGGATGCTATTGTGCTATAAGAAATGATAAAGGAGGAGTTCAGAAAAAAATATGGCAACACTTATATGAACCATTGCAAAGTAAAGGGAGAAGAACTGGGATATCATCATGCACATAACAGCAATGTTGCAATGATGATCAACAGTGAAAGACTTGGTTATTCTGATCTATACAGTGATACAAGACAATGCCAAAGGACTCATGATGAAATAATGCTATCCACCTCCAAAGAGAGAACTGATGAGCTCTGAGTACAAATTGAAGTATAATTCTCTGATTCCTTTATTTTATTTTACTTTTTTGTGACATGGCTAATATAGAAATGTTTTGCAAGATTTCATAGGTATAATTGATGTCATATTGCCTGCACTCTCAATGAATGAGGGAGGAGTAGGAGGGAGGGAGAGAATTTAGAATTCAAAATTTAAAAAGAAAATAATACTTAAAATAAGTAAATAGACTTGAAGAAGTAAAAAAGAGCAAGATGGTGGAGTAAGCAGTAAATCACCATAACTCTCCCATATTCACCTCCAAACAACCATAAAATAGTGCCCCCAAACAAATCCTGGAACAGTAGAAAAGTAAAGAGATGAGGTGAAACAATCTTTTAGTCCAAGAAACCCAGAAGATTGTCAGGGGTAAAAGGGGAGCACAGTCCAGGACAGGAAGCATTCCAGCAAATAACAGCAAGCCCCAACTCAGCAAACCAGTGGGAAAACCTGACCCCACTGTGGTGGAGCAGGCAAACACCAACATCTGGACCCTGCACCATTCCTTAACCTAGCCATAGGCAACTGGCCAGCTTCCAGCTGTCAGATCTTCATATGCTTCAGCATAGCCCTGGACAAACAGGCACCTGCCAGCACTCAGACTTCCACATGCTTTACTGTAGCCCCAGGTAAACACAGAAATACCCCACCAGTCTTAGCACACTCCAGACACTAGCACTAGGATCTTGGCTCAGCAGCAGGCAAGCTTCTAGAATCCTATGGCCCCCAGCAGCACCAGTCACGCAACAGCACACCCTCAGCACAGCACCAGACACAAGAGTCACCCATGGGCCTATTGCCCCGTTGCCCAGACTTTTGTCTTTGATTATATTAAATTAAAAAGGTTTTGTACAAACAAAACCAATGCAACCAAGATTAGAAGGAAAAGAGAAAGATGAGCAAGTGTCTCTGATAAAGGCCACATTTCTCAAAAATACAGAGAACCGAGTCAAATTTATAAGAATGCAAGTAATTCCCCAATTGATAAATGGTCAAAGGATATGAACAGGCAATTTTCAGATGAAGAAATCAAAGCTATCTATATGCATACTAAGAAGTGCTCTAAATCAATTTGATTAGAGAAGTGAAAATTAAAACAACTGTGAGGTACCACCTCACACCTATCAGATTGGCTAATATGACAAAAAAGGAGAATAATAAATGCTGGAGAGGCTGTAGGAAAATTGGGACACTGATGCACTGGTGGTGGAGTTGTGAACTGATCCAACCATTCTGGAGAGCAATTTGCAACTGTGTCCAAAGGGCAGCCAAAATGCCCAAACCTTTGATTCAGCAATACCACTACTAGGTCTTTATCCCAAAGAAATCATAAAAAGAGAAAAGGGACTTACATGTGCAAAAATATTTATAGCAACCCCTTTCATGGTGGCAAAATATTGGAAACTGAGAGGATGCTCATAAATTGGAGAATGGCTGAACACAATGTGCTATATGAATGTAATGGAATACTGTTAAGCAATAAGAAATGATGAGCAGGCAGATTCCAGAAAAACCCATAAAGAATTGTACAAACTGATGCAAAGTGAAATGAGCAGAACCAGGAAAACATTATACCCAGTATCAGCCCCATTGTGTGATGATCGACTATGAATGACTCAGCTCTTCTCAGCAACACAATGATCCAAGACAGGAAGGAAAAAACTACCAACATCCAGATAAAGAACTGACAGACTTTGAATGAAGATGGAAGCATACTTTTTTTTTTACTTACTTTATCTTTTTTTGTGTGTGTTTTTATTCCTTTTGCTCTGTTTCTTCTTTCACACCTGTGATTAATATGGAAATATGTTTTACGTGATAGCACATGCATAACCTATATCAAATTGCCTACCATTTTAGGAAGAAAGGAGGGGAAGGAGGGAGAAAAATTTGGAACTCAAAATCTTATAAAAAATGAATGCTAAAGATTGTCTTGACATATAATTGGGAAAAAATAAAATACTATCTTAAAAATAAATAACAATTATTTTTAAGAGATCCTTAGTAATTTTGAAGATAGCAGTTTCAGTTGAATTATGAGGTTAAATGCGAGATTACAGAGTTAAAAAGAGAATGAGAGTAAAGGAAGTGGAGGAATAAATTATATATGACTTTCTCAAGGAGTTTATCAACAAAAGGAAAGTGGTGATGGGTCAGATCAAGTGTTTTTCCTTTCTTTTCCAGTAGAGGGTTCTACCTTCCCCTGAAAACTGCACCAGCAAAAAGATAAATTTGGGATGCATTGGGATCAGTATGGAACCTGCTATACTGATAACTCTCTCTCTTTTGGGCTTTGCATGGCTCTACATATAATTAAGAAGTATAAGACCTTAGTCTGAAATATTCCAAAGAGAGTGCCATCATCCAAAGCTGCTTTACTGGAGCATTGTAAGCAGCAACAAAACTTTGGTGCTAATATGAACAGATTTCTTTTTAGGAAGAGGGCCAGAAGAGTATAGCAACATCCTGGTGAAGAATATTTTCACCCACTATGCACAGACCCAAAAAATCAGAAACTAGAAGGCTTCTGTGGTGTCCAAAATGTTTTGAGAAAAGTATTTGTTAGGTTAGGTCCCTGAGAGGACATATTATGTTCACTATTGAGATCCTGAAAGCAAGCTAATCAAGAAAGTGCTTAATCTGGCAGGAAGCAACTAAACCAATTATCCTGAAGGAGACCTGTGGCCAGAGTATTTTAAAGATGCTGTGCTGAATATTAAAAAAAAAACAACAACAAAAAACTGACATCTAAGCAGAAGGTTTAACGGAGTCAGTATTATGGCTCTTCTAAATCATGTCTTAATGCCATTAAGAATGGTGTTGAATGTTTTCCTCAAAATTGCAGAATCCTAGAATTTTAGAGTTAGAAGAGATTTCAGCCCAATCCATATCCCAAAGAAATCTCTACTACAGCTTACCTGATAAGAGATTTTCTAGCCTGTTGAAGCCCATCAATGAGTTTGAAACTAACACCTCCAATTCTTTTTTCTAAATTTTATTTATTTGCTTTTCAATGATTTTGAACCTAACATCTCTAATTCTTTTTTCTAAATTTTATTTATTTGTTTTTAGTTTTCAACATTCACTTCTATAAGGTTTTGAGTTCTAAATTTTCTCCCCCTCCTTCTGTTCCTCCCTGCCCAAGACAGCATGCAATCTAATATAAGCTATATATGTACAATCATATTAAACATATTTCCACATTAGTCATCCAACACTTTTAATTCTAAGTATTTTTTCTTGGTATCTTACCAAAATTCACCACTTCATAAATTCTACTCTTTGCGTTTGATTCCTGACTTCTTGGGCCAAAGAGAATAGCTCTAATCCCTCTGGAGATTATCTGTCCTGTTCTGTATCTCACCACCATGATGCAAACTCAACTCCTTCCCATCTCCCTCAGCCTCCTCTCCCCTCTGATTGGAAAGCTGGAGGGTGGAGCACTAAGCTCCTCCCAAAGCTGTCCTTTATAGAGGACAGCATTTGGACTTTCCAGCTCACTCCACTTGGCACTTGCAGCTGCCTCCATGCCAGGTACAACCTCCCCTTTCCGGCTTCCTTTTGTGCGTTATCTTCACCCATTGGATTGTAAACTCCTTGAGGGGAGGGACTATCTTTCTTTTTCTTATAGCACTTAGCACAGTGCCTCACACAAAGTAGGCACTAAATAAATGTTTATTGAATTTATTGAAAATCAGTTAAACAATGTTCTTTCTTTAATTGGCACTATGTCTCAGTCTAATAGTATAATTTAGAAGGATGTGAAAATACGGGAAAAGATCGGAGAAAGAAATATAATTGTAGCAAAAGGTGGCATAAGGATAACCTAATTATCTTAAAAAACTGAATTCCTTAGCACTCTGAAATTAAAAAGGCCATTTAATGTAACATTAAACTTCGTAAATTTATGGGTGTTTCTGTTGTTGTTTTTGCTTTCTAGGTTCCAGATTCAGAGAGGGACAACTGATTCAAACCACTATAAGAGCTTGGGAGATAGTTTTCTCAAAATTTACCATACAGAAAGGTATGTATGCATGCATGCATGCATGTATGTATGTATACGTGTGTATAATATAAATATTGACTTTGAAATATATATATGTATACATGTGAATATGTTGTTGTTCAGTAATTATTTAGTCATATCCAACTCTTCCTGACCCCATTTGGGGTTTTCTTGGCAAAGGTATTAGAATAGTTTGCCATTTCCTTCTTCAGCTTATTTTACAAATGGGGAAACTGAGACAAACAGGGTTAAGTGGCTTGCCTAGGTTTACACAGACCCATAGTATCCATAAATACCATTCTCACAGCAAGAATGACACGAATGAATACACCAGAATCAGATACACTAAATGGTTTGGTTGTCTCTATTCTTTGGGGTATCTAGGAGACAGAGGACTAGGCCTGGAGTCAGGAAGACCTTAGTTCAAATTCAGCTTCAGACACTTACTAAGCTGTGTGACCCTGGGCAACTAGCTACCTTAACCTCTATTCCCCTTAGTTTCCTGAGATTAAAAAGAAGTATAATAATAACACCTACCTCCAAGGGTTGTTATGAAGGTCAAATACAATTAATAGTTGTAAAGTACTTAGCATAGTGCCTGGCACATAGTAAGCACTATATAAATATGAATTTATTATTATTATTTCCCAAGTGATCCCAGTTCATGTTTTTACTCAACACAGACTTCCAAAATATTTTAGATGTGTTTTCAGAAACTATTTTCATAGGGACAGCTTGGTACAATAGAACTTACCCCTCGCTGAGAATCAAGACACTTGATTTCTGGTCTAGATGTGGGCATTAGTTCATTGTGTGATCTTGGACAAGCCACATGAACTTGAGGTTTAAGTGCTTTATTTTCCTCGTGTGTAAAATGAGGAGGGTTGGATTAGATGACCTTCATGTTTGCTTTCAGTTCTGATGCTCTATGATTCTAATAGAATGGGTTGAAACCAATAATGAAAAAAAAAAACAACTGAGGAATGTTAGTAGGTGTGTAGATTCAATCTGGTTCTCAGGCCTGTGGGGCAGAAGTCAGACTCCTGTAAACACCAACAGGAAGCCAGGATGCATAAGTGCATAAATATTGTGTTAACTAAATGCAAAATGTGAAAAAGATATTAGAAAATGTTTTTGTGTATTGGGATCGATACACCTCAGTGGTCAACTCACTGGAACATATGGAATCTTGCTGACCTGATGAATTTTGCACTGAATTTACTACCAAGGAATGACTTAGTTATCATGCCAGAGGCATTTATTGTAGCACTTCCCATTTAATATGGGGATTTTTTTGAAATTTATTTTGGAACAGAAGTTTGAACAAATGTTTTAAAAAGTCAAATTCATGCTTTCCTTCATTCATTGACATATTGTGTATGCCACTGTACTTATGTATGTATGCATTGTACTTAGTTAATCCCTATCTCTATCCTTCCCCAAAGATTTGTTGCCTTTTTTATCTATAGTATAACTTTAGTACCTTGAACTTTGAGTCTGGTTTATGGATAGGTAGCCATTTTATAGTATGACACCTCCCTTACTATCTATCAAATTTCATAATTAGGGATTCATTCCTATTGTTTAAATCCTTACCTTTGGATAAAGTGTAGTTATCTCTCCAAAAGGTAAAACATTAAACCTTACTAGTTAATAATATTTTAGTATGAATTAATTTATCTAGAAAGGTCTTTTAGATGGGGGTCATTAGAGCACTATTATTTTGGAAGGAAGAAGATAGGAAGGAAATTCTACTAATGTATAAAAAGGGCCAGGAAAATGAGAAGTTGGGGCAGGCCTCTGACAAAACTTTACGTATTTCTCAGTTTTGCTTTTAGTTAGTGCTAAATACACCATAAAAAGCCTCAAAAGATCTGAAAGATTTAATAATCACCTATAGTACTTAATATTCTTTCAACAAGTCTGAGAATTGGGCTGAATGTAGATATATCTGGAGTATTATCTTAGTTTAACATTTCAGGAAGGACATTAATAAACTAGAAAACATAGATAGGGGTCTGTTGATATTGAAGGTGAAACATCCAGGGAATTAATTCATCCACAAAGATTTAAGCTCCTGCTGTGTGAGAGGCACTGAAAAAAACAAACAAACAAACAAAAAAACATTGTTGACATAAAGACAAGGGATGAAACATTCCCTGTACTCAAAAGATTATGTTCTATTGGAGGGTATAATATGCACGTAGAAAATATATGCAAAGTGATATAACATGAAAGTTTTTCTTTCTTTTCAAATTAGTACCTTTTTTATCTTGTGATTTCTTTTGATGTAGCACATATAGATTTTGAATTTATTCCACCAGCCTCAACTTGCACTAGCAGAAAGGATCCCAAGAACACAGCTGCTAGGTTTCTGAGGGTTCTTGAATTCAGACTGAGGTTCTAGAAAGTGTTGATCAAATTCTGTATAGCTCAAAAGCCCCCATCAGTTATGCTTCCCATGAAATCAATTAGACAATAGGACAATATGCTTTTATAAAGAAATTTTTTTAAGGTGTTATAGTAATTGTTGGTATAAAAATTCCAAAAATCTCTAATGTACTCTCCCACAAGTACACACAGAGTCCAGGGGGAAAGTAGGCTCAAGTTCAGAGCACAAATTGCCAAGAGGTAATGTGCAGCTCCTGGAAGTGCTTTTTTTTAGTCTTCAAGATGTCCACCTTAGTTATAGTACTGTTTTTCTGCTAATCTCTTTGAAAAGCCTTGAATCTGCTTTGTTTATCTCAACCAGTCTCTTCTTGGTTCCCAATGCAGACACTGTTTCAGTTATTCAGCACATATGCTGGTATGAAAATGAGAAGTCCAAAATCCTCTAGACCCCTCACGAAGCACAAAAAGTACTTTGTTAGTCAAAGTGGGGGGCGGAAGGAGAGCTAGCCCAGGATAAGACTGAAGTACTCTTCACGGGATAGGAACACAATTCTTCAGGCAAACCAAAATACACTTCCTATACAACATGACTCCAGTTAATCAAGGACTCTCCCCACACCCCGCCTCCTCACAGTAAAGTCTTTGATTAATATGTGTCCTTACTGGGTTAAGATATTAGGGGAATTGTGTGAGATAGTATGATATGATTGATTCATTCAGTTGACTCCTACTTTTATACTAATTGTTGTTGTTCAGTTGTTTCAGCCATATGTGACCCTTTGTGACTTCATTTGGGATTTTCTTCACAAAGATACAGGAGTAATTTTCCATTTCCTTCTCTAGCCCATTTTACACATGAGGAAACTGAGGTAGACAGAGTTAAGTGACTTTGCCTGGGGTCACATAGCTAGTAAGTGTCTGAGGCCAGATTTGAACCCAGGGAGATGTCTTCCTGATTCCAAGCCCAGTACTCTATCTACTGTGCCACCTAGCAGTCCTATGTTGTTTCATTTTCAATTGTGTCTAACTCTTTGTGACCCCATTTGGGGTTTTCTTGGCAGAAATACTGGAGTGGGTTGCCATTTCCTTCTCTAGCTCATCTTATGTGTGGGGAACTGAGGCAAACAGGGTTAATTGACTTGCCCAGGGTCACACAGCTAATAAGTGTCTGAGGCCAGGCAAAATACAGATTTTCTAGGTAGCTGGAAGTCTACATCAGGGATTAGGGTTAAGGTTTGGGTTCAGGTACAGGTTAGGCTTAGGTTAGTTAAGTAGTGTTGGATTAGAACTCAGAAAGATCCGAGTTTGAATCATGCCTTAGACAAATACTAGTTGTAATTGTACTTTGGGAAATTTATTTCATGTCTCTAAGTCTCAGTTTCTTCCTCGGTTAAATGACATAGCACCTATGTACTGTTGTAGCACTTATAATAATAGTGTTGTGAGCATCACAACTTGCATACATAGTAGCCATTGTCATTGTTAACCCCAACAAAGCTGAAAGAGCCTCTGTAAGCTAAAAACAACCAACACACACTTCTAACATACAGTAAAAATACCTGACCAGAGAACATGAATGGAGGGGTATATATATATATATATAGGAGACACATGTGGCCAGTGAAAAGGCTTCATAGGAGCTGCAGACAAGTAGAACGTATTAGAAGGTCTAATCATGGTGATATGTAGCAGAGAGCACAAAGCAGTAGAGGACCCATCCTAGTGAAGAAAGCAGCTCACAAGCAAACGACATCACCAAAAGACATAGGCACTTGCGTAGGGATAAAAGCAGCAGGGTTTCAGGAAAGATGCTGCCTTAGGAGCATGAGCTGTTGTTGTTCAGTTGTTTTACAGTGTGTCCAACTCTTTGTGACCCCTTTTGGGGCTTTCTTGGCAAAGATACAGGAGTGAATAACCATTTCCTTCCTCAGCTCATTTTACAGATTAGAAAACTGAAGTAATGGTAAGTGACTTTGCCCAGGGCCACAAAGTTAAGTGTATGAGGCTAGATTAGAACTCAGGGAGATGAGTCTTCCTGACTCCAGGCCTGGCACTCTATCCACTGTGCCACCCAGCTGCCCCAAGAGCATGAGCTATAGTAGGCATTTGTGTTCCCTGGCTGCATGTCATGTTCCCTGGGTATGTGCGGGAATGTTAATGGAAGGAAAGTATCACTGTTGAGAGTATGTTTAGAGGCATGAAGTATGAGACTTATGTCTTTACTAACCCTTTAAGGTCAATAAAGTTTTTTCTCAAAACAAAACACAACAAGTCATTAATTGCTTTCCTTTTACAGAAGATGACACTGAGACTCAGTGATTTTAAATGTCTGTGCTAGAAACTAGAAAATTAACACCAGCACTGCAGTTCTAAATAACGTCTTTTTTCATTGCACCACGATAGAAGGCATTGTTCCAGTATGTTAACATTGTGGGGTGGAAAGTGAGGATGCTTCCTTCCTTCAGCAGTCATCTCTATAACATGGCAATATCTTTACCAGGCACCACCTTCCCCCACTAACCCTAAATGCCCCTGCATACTTCTTTTTCTTCCTCCAAAGTAATGGAGGTCATTAGCTATGTTTCACGAAAGGTCTGGACCTTGAAGGGTGAAATACCACCTATCCT